CACCGTGATCCCCAGCTCCCACAGGGGCAGCCCCAAGATTCCGCCCCGGTGCGGACCCCCCATCCCGGTCCGCCGCGCAAGCGCCTGTGGGGATCCCGAGGCCTTCAGGCCATCCGAGAGACCGCCGCACTAGCCGGGCAGGGACTGGCCAGTGGGACACGGGCCGGAAGTGTGGCCTGCCCTGCCGCTCTAGGGCTGGGAAGACCGAGGTCTCGGTGGTTCCAGACCCTGGCTGGTTCCCTYGGGACTAGGAGCGGATGTGGGAAGGTGGACCCCACGCTCTTCCCCTCCTCCTTTCCTGGAGGTACTGTCCTGAAAAGATCCGGCGGCGAACTAAGGTATCTACAGGGGTGGGACTTAGAGTTCCGTGCTGTTGGGCACCCTTTGGAGGCCGGTATGTTGGCGCCTCGGTCGAAAGAGTAGGTAAGGCGCCGGGTGCGCGCCGAGGAGCGCCGAGTGCCGGAGGACGCGGCCTCGGTCTTCTCGRGAAGGAAGGTTGAGGTTCCCCAAGGAGGAACTCTGGCCCCTTTTCCTCCGAGCCAAGCCCCCTTCCTGGATGACCGTGGCCCTGGACAGCGGGGGGTGTTCCGAGGTGGAGGTGAAGGATGAAGACCTACGCGGAGGAGGCGCCCCCGGCGGGAGCCGAGGGGGTGAGGCCAAGGCGCGTAGCCTCGGCGACTGCGAGGCCAGGAGCCCGCACCTGGCCTGGCGCGCCTTCCCTGGCTTCTGTGAAGCCCGCGAAGTGGTCAGCGAGCAGCCGGAGGAGGCGGCGAGGCGGGGGTTCGCTTTTGGTGTTGGGGATTGAACCTACAGACGCTTTAGCATTGAGCTCCATCCCAGTCCTTTTTATTCATTTGGAGACAGGGTCTTGCTAAATTCCTGAGGCTGGCCTTGAACTTGCGGTCCTGCGATTACAGGTGGGGTTTTAATGGGCATGCCAGCACAGGGAGTAAGGGTAGCCTTTACACAGCGGACAAGTCTGACGCTGGTCCTGAGTCGGCTGAAGTGTCGGTGGGATTTTTCTAGGCTCAGGGACTTGGCAAAGAAAGTGCAGTGGCCTGAGTCTTGAATACTGCTGGCCTAGAGTTCAGGATCCTTCAGAGGCAAAGAGAGAGGATTGAGAGGATAGGAGGGATTGTTGGGCTTGGAAAAAAGAACCAGAAATGCGTGAAGAAAGATCAATAAAAAAAAAAAAAAAAGAGGTTTTGGTTTTTCACTCAAAACCTGTGAAACAAGGAGAATAGATAGGAGAAAATAGTCTGGTTGGACATGGTTAGCCCTTCATCTGATGAAGAGGGAGTGGGTAAAATTTAAGAAGCAAGACAAACTTAAGACTATTGGGCATGGGCTGTGGCTGTGGCTCAGTGGCAGAGTGCTGGCCCAGCACGTGTGAGGCACTGGGTTGTATCCTCAGCACCACATAAAATGAATAAATAAAGGCATTGTGTTCATCTACAACTGAAAAAAAAATAAACAAACAAACTGCTAGGCATGTTTGAAAACAGCCAGAGTCAGAGTTTGATGAATGATCTCATGGAAAAAATATTAGTCTTCTGCAAGATTGGAAGAGTAATGAAGGATGGTCCTGAAGCATATGGGTTTTAAGCCTGACTGCCTGCCGTCCAGTTTGGGCAAAGTGTTTAATTACTGGGTGTCCCATTTTTCTCATCAGCAAAGTAAGGATATTAATATGTTAATAGCATTAATGTTTGTGAGGTACAGATGTTTTGTATTCATTTAATTATTTCAACTCTCCTGTCTTTATTGAGTGGGACCACATAACTAGCCTTTCAAATGTGAGACAGCCATGTGCACCACTTCCTTCAGTCCTCTAGCTCTCTCAGACCCTGCTACAGCAGTCTCCAGGAGCAGCCTCTGCTTCATAGTGGCAAGGCCATAAAAGGGAAGTCTCTGAGCCCCTGAGTCACTATGGCACAGAGCCTCCCCCCAACACTACCCAGCTTGTGCTGGATTTTACAGGAAAAGTAAATTAAAGCATTTATAGTTTTTTTAAATTTTTATTTATTACTGCAGCCCAATCTAGCCTATTTCAGTTACCATATTTTATTAATTCTAATGTACACATTTTTATTTCTTAATATCTGAAATTGTGACATGTTACCATCAGTTGCTTCTTGTCATCACTGTCAGCCAAGATTAAAATCAAATTCTTCCAGCATTTATTTCTGCATACTACTTGGGAACACCATCATCTATAATTCTTTTAATTAAGTCTATACTTTTTAAAAAATATTTTTCAAGTTGTTGATGGACCTTTTTTTTTYTCATTTATTTATATGTAGGGCTGAGAATTGAATCCAGTGCCTCGCATATGTGAGGCAAGCGCTGTACCACTGAACCACAACCCCAGCCCGTAAATTCTCTACTTTTAAGACAAGTTTAATTAGGGATAATTCCGATATAATAAAACACATCCATGGTGAGGACACAACTCAATGACCGTTAGTTAAGTTGAAACTATCAAACTATCCTGGGTGCACGCCTTTAATCCCAGCAGCTCAGGAGGCTGAGGCAGGAGGATCTCAAGTTCAAAGCCAGCATCAGCAATTTAGTGAGGTCCTAAGCAACTCAGCAAGACCTTGTCTCTAAATAAAATATAAAAAAGGGATGAAGATGTGGCTCAGTGATTAAATGCCCCTAGGTTCAATCCAGTACCAAAACAAAAACAGAAACAAACAAACAAAACCCCACAAAACAAAAACCTGATCCCAATTTGAGGGCACTTCTGCCAACCCCTTGCATCTAGCCTGGGTCTACCTCTATTCTACCCACTTCCTGTCTGAAGATTTGCTTTCAATAGAAATTTCATGGGACTGGAATCATGGTAGTACAGATGTACTGCACTCCATATATGCTTTCAATCTGTACGACTTCATTTTAGTATTTATTGTAATACGTTTTCTAGCAACAAATTCACTTCATCTTTATTCAYCTAGGAATGTATTTATTTTCCCTTCAATTTTGAAAAATAGTTTGAATATGGGATTTTTGGCAGTTTTCCCTTTCTTTGATCATGTCATTCTACTGTCTTCCTCCTCCATAGCTTTAGGTGTGTTGTTAATCCTGTTGTCATCAATAATCAGTTGTTAATCCTGTGTCATCCCATTGTGATGAGTAACTCTTCCCTTCAAGGAGTTAGTTCTGACATGTTTAGGTGTGGAACTTTGTGGTTTTCCTGTCAGGAAAAAGTTTCTTAAATCCACAGAGAGTGTGTTTTGCGGGGGTGTGAGGTATCGTTTGCATAGAGCATGAGTTGACAGTGGGAAGTCAGCTCTGGAAGGAGTGATTCTTCCCCTGTACAGGTAGCACCTTGGAAGAGGGCTCTGCATTTTATCTTCTTGCACCTGCTCAGATCAAGTCAATCTGACCTACACTTAGAGACAAGTTGAAACCTTGACATGCACATGCAGGTCACTTCAGGCTGGCTGCCTGCCTCTCCTCCTGGACACCAGCCAGCCACTACTCTGTTCTGGGAGGAAGGCACAATCCTGACCTGCTCAACCACTAGCAGTTGTTTGCTGAACGCAGGTCACTGAAGGGCCAATTTGCCAAGATACCTTGACCTGATTTGTGAATTTGTGATTTGATTTGTCTACACCATTGTTTTTAGATACAATCTTCCTAACTGTATTCTCCAAATGCAACATGTCACATTCAACTGGCAAAGAAACATTTGGAATGAGTTTGAGACTAGAAAGCTGCCGATGTTGATTGCTGTTCTGCTATAAGGGGAGGCCAGATGGACTGTTCAACACCACTGAGAAACTTCAACTTTGATTGCTTTTGAAACAATGTATCTTTTCAAAGCTTTTAACCTGCTGCTAAATCTTTTCCATCCCCATGGGGATGGATACAATGTTAAAGTCACCATAGTACCATTGTCATGCTGACTTGCCACATCATCATCTGAACTTTGTCTCAGAAGCATTCAGAATTTGTTCTTATGAGAGCATTTAACCTGCAATTTATATCATTAATTTTACTGCTTTTCACAGTTCCCATTACACTAAGCAATGAACTCAGGAGAACACACCTCCTTCATTGCTGAGTAGAATCCCCTGGTGTTCGGTACTGAAGGGTGAAATTCCAGGGAGCAGGAAGCCACATCCTGCCGCAAYCCGGCTGCAGGAGCCGCCGCAACCCGGCTAGACAYAGAAACACGAACCGCTCAAGCGGGAAACAAAGCTTTATTTTAAAAAAGCCGCTCAGCGATCCCTCTGCGTCTCACTCGCAAGCCGTTCGACCCACGTGTGTCACCGGAACCGGGCGTCTGCACCTCCCCGGAAGTTCCCTCCTACTATCCTTCCCCAACCAATGGGAACTGTCCCATTACATGAGTGACATGAGTAACCTGAGTCCCGTAACAGGCTGAGGTAAACAGCAGGAGTCCAATTTTCATATGAATGTAGAGCTTAACATAATCATAATCTCAATGGTTAGCTGGTAGTCACCTAAACCAAAGGTACCGTGTATCAATACTTTTGCTGTGGCTCCTAGCAACATCCCATTATCAGTAAGGGAAAATGAATGGTATCCCTCTGTGGCACATACTTCAGGTTGCTCTCCCTCCACACACTAGGGGGGTCTTATTTACAAGGTAGCAAATGCCAAGGTTGAGTAGCACAATGGGGCCTTTCCAGACTAAGCCACTTGTGTAATAGTTTTCTCTTTCGTAGAAAACAGTCATGTAGGGGCTGGGGTTGTGGCTCAGTGGTAGAGTGCTTGCCTAGCATGTGTGAGGCACTGGATTCAAATCTCAGCATCACATACAAATAAATMAGTAAATAAAGGTCCATCAACAACTAAAAAATATTTAAAGAAAAGAAAACAGTCATGTAAGTAGCAGGTAGCATCTGTTTTCTTTGTTTTAGGAGAATTTATTTTTTTGCAGACAATTTTTAAAATTTGTTCTTATTAGTTACACAAGATAGTAGAATGCATTTTGACATATTATTCATATATGGAGTATAACTGTTGAACCGTGATGCAAAGAAAAGACCACTGACTCCAATTTTAAATCAAATTAACTCAAGCTTATATTGTGTACCCAAATAGAGCTGGCCAGTGGCTGTCTCACCCAAGGCTTTGAGCGTGCTAAACAAGCCACTCTATCACTGAGCTATACACCCCCCAGCCCCCTTCCTACCTTCTTAGATAATTCCTTAATCATGTGGGAGGATGCAAATGATTAAGATCCTAAGTCAGCTCCTCCTGAGTGTTGCACACCCCACCATCTGTCCTTGGCCATGCTTTTGCCTTCTCCAGGGTCTGTTTGTGCAGACTCAACTCAGGCTATTGGTTCTGCTGCAAATGTACAGCTGTGTTAGATGTGTGTGAGTGTAAGTCACACAAAAATAGCTACTCATGACTTTTAACCATGACAATTGTTTGAGTTCTCATCAGGAGAGAAATACAAATTAAAACTACAATCAGAGCCAGGCATAGTGGCACACTGCTGTAATCCTAGCAACAAGCTGAGACAGGAGGATCTCAAGTTCCAGTCCAGGCTCTATAATTTAGAAAGACCTTCAGCAATTTAGTTCTCACTGGACCCTGTCTCAAATTAAAAAATAAAAAAGGGCTGGGATGTAGCTCAGTAGCAATGTGCCCCTGGGTTCAATCCCTAGTACCTCCTCAAAAACCAAACACCTAGTTTCCCCATCAATGGGTGTAGCACTGTTATTTGTCAACACGGGGTGTGGGGAAAGCAACTTTTTGTCCAGCTAGTGGCAGAATTGGGGCAGGGCTCATGGCCAGTTGGGCACACTTGGGTAGCAAGTCTCAGCATGAATACTGCCAGACACTGCCCCAGCAATTCCACTCCCCCGAAGTGTTTAGACATACAAATAAAACGTGTATAGGATTTAAACGTGTCTGTGTTTGTGGAAGATTGCCACTGACATACATCCTCAGGCCTTTAAATTTTTTTTATTTTGCGCTGGGGTTGTGGCTCAGCTGTACAGCGCTCCTCTCGCACGTTCCAGACCCTGGGTTCGATCCTCAGCACCACATAAAGATAAATAAGTAAAATAAAGGTATTGTGACAACTACAACTAATATATATATATATATAAAATTTTTTATTTTGACACAGTGTCTCCCTGACTTGTGAAGGCTGTCCTTGAACTTGCCATCCTCTTGCCTTAGCCTCCCAAGTCGCTGTGATTACAGGGGCGCCACTGCACCCAGCACAAGTTAATTATATTTCAATAAAGCTTATAAACGATTCTAAAAGAGCTAACGTCTCATTTTCCAGGTGGCAAAGCAGAGGCAGTCTGGAGGCCAGGGGGAGGGCCTGCTGACCAGTGCCTGGGCTTCTGATCGCTCCAGAAGGGTTAAGAACCGGCCAGAGCTGGTTCACCTACTCATTGGACCCCAGCTCTCCCGGGAAGGGATACTTGAAGGCAAGGATCTGATGGGGCCGACTGTCCAGGCACAGAGGTGTGATCCAAAGGCCAGGGTGGTCCAAGGGAAAGTGAGCCCTCTAAGCCTATGAGCAAGTGCTCAGGTAGCTTACAGCTCCGTGTATGGGGTCTGGGGTCAGGACCTCGGGGTCTGGGCGTCACTCAGTCCTGAGATGCAGGCCAGGGGGCGTGGCCTGGCGCATTGGACGGGGCGGGGCCCTGGGATGCTGGGTGTGGCCAGAAAGGGAACTTGAACCAGACTGGAATCAGACTTGACATGCAGGGGCGTGGCCAGGGTGGAGAGGGAGGCGGGGCCTGAAGGGCGTGGCTGGGGGAAGCCACCACTAAGGGAGCACTAAGTGCTGGGCGCTGGGGCGGGGGAGGGTAGGGCTGGGCCTGTGGAAAGTGAAGTCCGGGAAGGAGCGTGAGGGGACGGTGGATGTGGCCAGGGCTGGAGGCATGGCCCTACAGGCCAGTGTGCTGGCAGTCCCGGTAGCGCCCCGGAGGAGAGGAGAGGCGGCCGGGCAGAGTGGGTCTGGCGGTTCTGCGCGTCTGGTCTCCGTGGATCCTTCTGGGGCACCAGTGCCCCCACTGTTCTGTRTGCAGTGGGTGTGCCTGACAGAACCCAGGGTGTAGCAGGCTGGGGCGAGGTCCTGTCTCCACCAGGATGTCCCATTGCTCCRCACTTAGACTGCCCTCCCTTCCTTGGAACCTTGGCAGGCCACGGAGGCAAGTGGGAAACCTGAGGACCTGGTACTGACCTTGCCGCCTGCACAACCGGAGGCGAGGTCCCACCTGCTGAATCTTGCTATCTTTCGTGTCTCCGCGCTTCCAGCTGCCCAGGGCTGCTCCAACCCCTGCTGGCCCACGTCTTCTGCTGCCACCGCTACCGCTGGCCTTGGTGAGGCTGCAGTGGGCTTTGGAACCCGAATCCACTGGTTGGCACCAGACCCTCTGTGGAAATCAGGCCCTGCTCTGAGTTACTCTGAGATATGGAACAGTAGTTTTCAAGCATTTCCTAGCTCTCAGTTACTCCATTTTGAAAAGCAGCAGTTTGCCATGAGTTACCCACACCCCTTTTTGAGTTCTTTTTATTTTTGTTTATTTTCTTAAGATTTTTTTTTAGTTGTAGATAGACACAGTACTTTTATTTTACATATTTATTTTTATGTGGTGCTGAGGAATGAATTCAGTACCTCACACATGCTAGGCAAGCACTCTACCACTGAGCCACAACTCCAGCCCTGAGTTACCCATTTAAAAAATATATTATTTTCTAGTTGTAGTTGGACACAATACGTTTATTTTAATGTGGTGTTGAGGATCAAACCCAGGATCTCGAACGTGCTAGGTGAGTGCTGTATCACTGAGCCCCAACCCCAACCCCTTGAGTTACCCATTTTAAGTGCTAAGTTAGAATCACTCCATACCTTGTTTGTACAAATAACCCCCATCTATCTAGCACTACCATAGGTGCAAACTGATATATAAAAAGAGACCCCCCCCCAAGACTGGAAATGGCAACACACTGACCCTATTACTTCATCATTCCTCATGAGCCTTGCCCAGGAAAATTGCCACAAGCAACGATTCTCTTACTTTCTTTCCCAGGAACTTCAGCTCCTTTGGTTTCTCTTGTAGGCRAGGACTTCAAGCTGACACTTTGAAACTGCCTGCCTTCCATACCTGTGCCTAGGTTAAGTTCTGACCTCTGGCCCATGACAGATCTGACTATCTGCAGTGATGTTTTTGTATTTGCATCTGCTCCCTGCCCATTTGCTCAGTGAAGTCTCCTGTAATCAAGGCTGCCTTAATTTAATCTTTCTGTATTTGTTTAAAGTGTGATATGTTTCTTGCGCCTTATAAATGTTAGTAATTAAGACTGTAATAAAATTACCTGTGATCACCTGGCTCATGACTACCAAATGACTGACCCACGAGTATTCAGTGAATTGAAACCGATGAAGGTGTGAGTTTATTGTTATTATTCAGTAAATTCTGACATTGTGGAAAGACACAAGTGGTGTCTGGCCTATGCTGACTGCATAACTAGGTCAAGACAACCTCCTACACCAGGTCGGTAGCTCTGAAGCGGCTTTCCTCCTTCAGGGTTGAGCTGGGATCCTTGGCAGCCCTCCCAATTCCAGGAGTGTCCAGGGCTGGGCTGTGCCAAGCTAAGAGCTGKGCTGTGCCAAGCTAAGAGCAGCCTCTAGAGGGCCGGACCCAGGGCCCTACGCCAGAGTGACTAAGGACTCCTCTGGGCCCAGCTTCGGTGACCACCGACTTGAGGCCCTCCTGATGTCCTAGAGCGACGCCTGGGGGGGGGGGCTCCTTCCGGTGGCTCGGGACTGGGTGGGCGGGGAGGACACTCCCGGAGGGTGTACCTCCCAGGCGCATGCAGAATGCGAGGCGTTCAGAAAGACAGGGCAGGGAAGGGCTGGGGCAGTGCTCCCGGTCTCAGGAGCCCCAGAGGGGGTGTAGACTAGCTCTTGGCAGTCCGAAGGTTCCTTAGGATGGATGGTTTAGCAAGTATTTCCACCCCCCTTTTGTCTTTTTTAACCCCCTCCCAGCAGTGGGAGTAAAACTCCTTGACTCCGCCTCTGCCACTGATCTACATTCCCAGCTGTTTTTACTTTCTGGATGCTACTGTTTGCAGCACAGAAGTTCTTGATATTGATGTAAATTGTACATATTGTGTACATACTTATTATAGCTTATGTAATATCCACAATTATGTTAAAAGTACCTATGTTATGAGTGGTCTGAAATGGAGAAATCTAGCCCATCAACGTGCAGGATCTCACTGAGTGTTAGGTGAGAACACCCTAACATCCATTCTGGCACTTTTTAAGAACACAGTACATTGTTAACAGTAGTCGTCAGGTTGTACAACAGACCTCTCCAGTTTTCCTAACTGGAACTTTGTATCCTTTTACCAATTTCTTACTAAACCTTTTAGTTTGAACTGATTTCAAATTTATAGAACAGTTGTAATAAAGCAGAAAATTCTCAAATAACTTTACTCAAATTCAAGTTTATTTTTATTTTTGGAGGGGTTACTATAAGATCCTTACATTGATGCCCAAACCTGGGATGGGGATCTCCATCACCCAAGGCAGAACTGGTTCCCAAACTCTGAGCCCAACTGTACCTGTCGTAGTCCACTCCTCTGATCACCTGCCGGACACCCACCACTGACTGGCGGATCGGTGAGTTCCCCCATCCCATGAGCRTCTGAACCCTAACTCACCAGAATGAGGGAATTGACCATTGAGTGTCCGCAATCCCTCCGGGTGTTTTAGGAGGTAAACGCACCCCACTCAGACCGGTCAGGGTCGTGGTGGACCCCTGGGAGTCGACCTCCTGGGACACAGGATAGATTCTCCCTTTCTGACTCCTCCATCACCCCTCACTCTCGGCTCCTGTGGACAGGCTAGGGCAGCTGCCACAGTCTGTCTCACACGAGTTCTGACTCCTCTGTTCCACCCGAAAGTTTTCCACCCGGAAAAAGTCTCCTTCTGATTCTTTTGTTCCACTCGAAAAACTCCTGATGTCAGGTTGCCCATGGCCTTGGCCCTATTTGGGTCTCACAGATGGCACTCCCCTGGTGACCACCAGGCAGTGCCCTCTGTCTATTTCCCTGTGGCCGTAGGCCATTTTGGGGATGTCCACTTGACCCTCCATCCGCTCTGAAGCTTCCAGGAAGCTCTTTTTGGCCCAGGGCTTCTCCCTCTCTCTCTTTCTCTGACTCTCATCTAGCCCTTCTAGCATGGGAAATTCCTCATCCCTTCTTGCCAATTCTCCTTTGCGGAGCCTCTTAGATAATTTGACAACCATGAGCCTGGCCCCTGATATTAAACCAAAAAGGCTCATAAAATTCTGTACCCAGGACTGGCCTACTACCCCTAGACAACTAAAACGTTTGGCCCAAGTGTGGGTCTCTGGATCCCAATTTACTCTGGGATCTTTTTAATTACTGTGAGTGATCAAAGAAGTGGAACRAGATTCTTTATGTAGAGGCTTTTTCCTTGCTACGAATTCACCCAAATCTCTGCACCCAATGGAAGCCTCAACATCTACTCCTTGCTCACAAGCCTCCTTCCTCTTCTTCTCTACTCTCTGCCTCCACGCCTTCTCTCTGCTCTCTGCCTCCACTTTCCACCTGGCTGATGGACCGCCTCCACACCACTATCCCCCACCCTCAGCCCCGCTTTCCCAACTTTACCCCCTCCCACTTCCCCATCCTCTACATCTGCGGCTTCTTTTTCTGTTGACACTCCCCCCGAACCTCCTCCCATTTCCATTCCTTCTGCCCTCCACCTCAGTTTGGTCCACCCACCTGCCACCTGTTTATGCACTAATGCAGCACCTAACCCATAAGTCACTATATCTCATCACCCAACTCAAACTTCACATGTTGTGGCTCCCCTTCGAGAGGTCACCGGGCCAGATGGGATTTTAAGGGTTTATATTCCTTTCTCTATGCTTGACCTTTCTCAAGTAGAGAAAAATTAGGATTTTACACTGCAAACTCTTTCTCTTATATTAAAGAGTTTCAATACTTAACCCAAGTCWACGGCATTACCTTTCATGGTCTCTATATGATTCTGTCCAAAATTCTCCTCCCTGAGGAAAAGAGAAAGGTCTAGGACAGGCTAGGACCTATGCAGACCAGATTCATCAGACTGATGCCCACCATCCCCTAGGGGCCCAGGCAGTTCCAGACCAAGACCCTCATAGGGGTTATAATGATCTCCAAGACCTGAGACACAGGGACCACCTTATTAGTTGTCTGATGGCTGGCCTAAAGGCAGCGGAACAAAAAGTTATTAACTTTGATAAACTCCAGGAAGTCATCCAGGAGAAGAATGAAAAACCCTCAGCCTCCCTAGACCGATTAACAAAGGCTCTCCTTCAGTACACTAATTTGGACCCTGAGTCCAAAGGGAGGCAACTTCTTATGACCTATGTGTTCTCACAAAGCTACCCTGACATACTGGCAAAGCTAAAAGAATTAGAGAGGAGACCCTTGACTCCTTAGACCGGGATGTTGGCCATGGCCTTCAAGGTCTACCACAACAGAGATGAAAGAGCAAAATGCCAAAAATGCCAGATGTTGGCCCAGGTGTTACAGGGCTCCTTCCAACCTATGGAAAAGGGGAGACAACAACCCCCATAACGAGGATCCCCTGGGTCCTGCTTTAAGAGTGGTAACGAAGGACACTGGGCTAGGGCTTGCCCTAACCCCAGGGCACCGCCCTGACCATGCCCCAGATGCCGATGTTCTGGCCACTGGGGATCGGACTGCCCCAATTCCCAGAGGGGAGCTGAGGTCAGTCCCTCCACCAGTGACTTACTGGGCCTAGCAGCCGAGGATTGACTGGGCCCTGAGTCTTCTGTCCCGACCTATTCAATTACCAAGCAGGAACGCAGGGTGGTTATCCGAGTGGATGGGCGTCCCATAAACTCTTTGGTAAACACTGGGGCCACATTCTTGGTTCTGAGAGAGTTTTGGGGAACTACCTATCCCTCCAAATCTCCTATTGTTGGGGTAGGGGTTACAACCATCAYCCCACGCAGAACTCCTCCCCTCACTTGCTCCTTATCTGAGTTCTCCTTTTCACATCATTTTTTGGTTATGCCTCAATGGCCGGTCCCCTTGCTGGGAAGGGATATATTATCCATCTTGAAGGCCTCCAAAACCTTACCCTTATTATCC